AACAATGCCAAATTATGATGTACGCCAAGGATCGTCTGAACCCCAGTGCAGGTTCAGACGATCCTTGGCACATGTCATAATTTGGCGTTATTTGCTCAATGCCTACTACCTATTTTACTAACTTTATATGTTTTTACAGAAACACATAGGACTTAATGACACAAATGTGTTAATGTCCAAATTGCTTCCATTTGTTTCTTGTGTCGTAAGTACATATCTTACTTATGTGTTGATTGTACGTATATTTCATCCATCTCTTGTGTTTTCTCTTACTAACTTTGTATGTCCTTACAAAATAGAATTTCATGACATGAACGAATGGCACAACACCAATGTACCTTTGCATCCACTGCTGTTGATGCTTATGCCCACTGCCGTCTCTACTTTTTGTCACAGCCATCCTCTTGTAAGTATACCTTCTCCCTCTTCTTATTTTACTAAGCTCATATATCAGGAATACAACTTCACACTGCATTATTTGCTCAGACATATATCTATGTTACTAATCTTATACATCTTTACAGGAATACATAGGACTTAACGATGCGAAGATGTTATTGTCCAAATTCCTTTCTGACATTGTATGTACATCCCTCCTTTTCTTGTGTCTTGTACATCCCTCCTTTTCTTGTGTCTTTTCTGAATCCCCTTCCCCCTCCAGCCAAGTCAAGGTGAGTGTGATCCATCAAAACAATTAATGATAGTGACTTACCTCTGACCACCAAGATCCGCCACCATCGTCACACAACCAACTGTGATTTATCTACACCAAGCCAACAGTGTTCAATATGAGGTATGACAATGGACATGACATATGCTTCAGAGGTCTATGACATGAGTAAGTCATTGAAAATGCATTGAGAGGTTTCATGAACACTTACCATGATTTGTACCATCAGCTGATTGTCAACAACCGTAGGATGCGATGTATGCTCAGGAGGCATAGGACATAGGCAGGTAAGTCACCAGTGTTGGATTGAGACATTTTGTGAGCACTTACTGTGATTTTGTATAAGTGGTATC